GATATTGACTTTGTTACTTCTCGATGTAAAGATTGTGGGCTTTGAGACGAGCATGCTTTTTTTTCTTTTACCTGGAAGATGGATGGGAACGATATTTTCACTTCGGTTCCTCATTTTGGCAGTTTCTACTAATAAAAATGCTAAGGAAAAAAAAGAAAATTCATAAACTAGCGAAGAAATGTTCAACGAACTAATTGCCTTTGATGGAATGCGTGATCAAAACTAGTGAACTGTACACAACTCGAGACAGCTGAATGAGATGGAATCTGAATGATATCATATCCTGACAAATTATGGAGATCAGAGAAACCTTCGCAAGGAAAAGAAGAGCGGGAAACTATCAAATTATCCTGTTCCACCAATTTACGGATGACAATGAATGCCCATAGTGCTTTCAGCACAAAGTACAAGCATTCTGATTCACGATCATTTGCTCTTACGCGAATTGCTGTCATAGCTATTGGTCATGGGAGACAGTATCAATACATATAACATGGCTTCAAGGTAAATTTGCATACAACGAGTTGCTCAAGTCCTTGTTTGTTTCACCTACAGAAAGTGTTCCCATCTAGCTGCTTCAGCACACCATAAATTCAAAGATCAGCTGAAGTGGGCTAAGTCACGAGCATAAAAGATTTGGTAATAGTAATTCTTGTATGAGCAAGTTCTTATGCATTATTTACTTGTGTTTGCGGGAAAGGCTCTGTCTCTAATGAAGAGAAAGTCTAAGCTACAATAGGTATAAAACAAAACAAAGTGTGCAGACAACGCTATGCCGTCAATGTAGAGTTTTCACTCAACCGAGACTGCAGCGAAGATTCGGAGTAGTGTATTTTTGTACATACAGGGTGTCCCAAGAAATGTGCACACTATTTGGTTGATAACTCTCTTGCTTAGATGTCTTTCGCCGATCTTTACCATTTTGTAGAGCTGGCTTCAACTCAGTTTTACAGTATGAAGCGTGCTGAACTTCCTTTATTACTGTAGAATTACGGTAGAAAATTAAACAATGATTTTAAGGCAGGAAAGCCATATTTTACCTTGGAAAGAAAACCAAACAAGCCAAAAAGTCCCACTAATCTGATCGAAGCCGCTGATTTTGACTGTAAACTTTCCATTTTACTTGATGCTTCTTTCTTGAGTTATACAAGTTGAACCGTAACGACTGAGTAAAAAATTCAGCATGCGTAAAAGCCCGAATACACAATTTTACAGATTTTTTGAAAAAATTTTCTCATGCGGCCCATTTCACAACGCTTCTATATGCTGTAAGTCCTTACCGTAGTCCTACAGTAATAAAGAAGGATTGGTGATTTGCTTCCTACTGTAAACCTGATTGAAACTAGCACTGCAGAATGGTACCTAAAGATCGGCGAAAGACGTACGAGTGTTACTAACGATCAAAGTGCACATTTTTTGGGACATCTTGAAAGATGCTTTGGAAAATGAATATCCAAAAACTATAATTGCAAATGTGGATAAAGTGATACTGTAAGATAATAACACCGTGAGTATTGAATAATAGATAGTTAAGCCAACTACGACTGCATGTTTTAATAAACTGTGAATTGTGGGCATATTTATTTTGATATATTGTGAACAAAGAGTGCATGAAGACCCAAATCCAATGGATAGATCAGATTTTTGTATGTTCCAGAATTTGTTATCGAATTCAAAGATTTACATGTTTCTTTTTATGGTCCCGCGCACACCTCGCGCAGTTTCAGTCGTCACGCGATTTAGCGAATGCCAGATATCTCTGAATCAACACTCACTAAGACGCAAATGCATAGTTTGTGTAATTTCGCTTATCAAAGAATGTTCTGCTTTTTGTGTATTTAGATACGATTATGATAAGTTATAAACAGTTTGAGTAATGTCAAATCGCGTGTCATCTAGGACCGCTTAAGATATGCCTGAAGTATATTACCTTATAACGCGGTGCGCTAACACTAATTTCCGCTTCAGGAACCATCAGAATCTTCTCTCCAAAATTCACCAAGTGGCATTATTGTGTTTGGATAAGTTTAAAATTTGGTGGAAGACCTATGGACTAGCCTTCAAAATTCAATCAGGCATAACAAGCATGAGAGAAACGCTTTTTACAGGGCAGATCATAGTCGTGTAATGAGGACAGCAATGACTGTGAAAGTAACAAGTGCGCGATTGATGTGGTTGTACGGACGAGCAACAAAAGCTGCATACGACCTCAAAGCGCCAGATTGCATAAACAAATACGTGATGATTAGCAGTGACGCGTAGCAAGGGCAACGGAGGGACCACAACGCCAGTACGGTTCGTCGGGCTTTGACCCCGCCTTTTGGTCGGGTACGGCATTCCAGCAAAGGGTGCGGGGACCCGAATGAGCTCCACCATTCAATTTGCTTTCATATAGACGTGAAGTGTAATATGCTTCTGGGCATGCGCAATTGAGTAAAGTATAAGAAGGGAAGTATTCAGTTTCAGTCAGCTTAGCCCGCTCTTTCTTGGAACCGCATTAACAGTGTTAACACACATTTTGAGTTTATCGTTTTCTTTCAGAGTTCACCAAGACACTTTTCCTCAATCAGTGAAAGCATTTTCCTCAAAGTCAAAAGAAAGCTAAATTTGAGACGTTTATTCCTAGCACAGCTTAGAAAACTCTCTACCTTCGCTGAAGGACAAGTCTGAAGAAATAGCTCAAGTGCAGACAATCAGTCGTAATAAAAAAAAATGGCTTTTCGAAAATCTCTCTCATTGTAGTCAGCCACCGCTAATCTAATTGCCAAACAGGCCAAAGCATTTTGATAATTTTACTCAAAATTTACGTTTCGGACGTACTATGCTCCGATTTCTATACGGCAAAAGCAGGATGCTTTCTAAACACTACACCAGTCTCCCAAATTGATGCACACGCGCTTCTCATTCGTTTTTGAGACAAATGCGAATCTGTCTCATCAAAATACTCGAACTACCGACGATAGCGAAGTAATCTTAATTGTCCAGTCCAGGAAAACTCATGGAACCAAAGCAGAGCATTTTCAATTCAATTTTCAATTCTCCTCAGGCTGAGGGATAGTAGGGTAGTCTGATCGTTGAAGATGTTTTTAGTGATTCTTTGTGCAGAATTTGAGGAGAAAATTACCTACCGGGTCGGCTGAGCTGAAAAATAGCCTCCGCTATGAAGAATCGATCATATAGCTGTAGTCAGCAGAACTTCGTAATTGCAGAACGTAAAAACCTAGAGATGCGAAAAGTAAAGAAACCGGATCTTTTCTGTAACTCACCTTCAGTTATACTGCACTCTACTTTCCGCAACTTTTTTTAGGAGGTACTAGACCACTTTTATGTCAGCGTGTCAGGTAAAATCTTGCTAGAAGGTCGCTGTGTTGACGAGTTTTACCTTTGCAGCCCATACGGTCTTTTGCTGGAATAATTGGGAGAAGCTCCTTGTTTGATTCTTTGCAAAGAAATACTGGGTATACTGTCTTGTATTGCTATATAGCAGACCATAGGATTTGATTGTTATTGGCATTCTTCTCTCAGACTGGTGAAAATGTCATTAAAAGGCCAATTGCCACTAAACAGCGGCAGCGACCTTTACAGACAAATGACTGTTTTTCGTCCGCAATCTTTGCTCTGCGTCATATATTGCCAAGACGTTTTTCAGGTCTGAGGATTGCAGGAAAAGCTTTTAACATATTTGGATCATGTCTCGAAAAGTATCTGTTTACTAGTCCATCCCAAAAGCTGTGCAGTTTTGAAGCACGAAAAATTTTTTGGAGAAGTTCGCAAGCCCATCGGTATACTGTCCGTCTCCCACATCGATCCTCACCCTCCCGCTTTGCGCATATTACACATGACGATAAAAAAAAAGTAGATTCTGCTACTTGCCAAGCTACGCCAGCGTAGCTTTGAAGAAGGGAGGTACGTTTTGGACATGGGACACCTAGGAACACATAGTCTCTCATTGAAGACTATGTACGTGCGTACGACAATCGCTAATCCAGGCAATTATAGGCTTTATCCACGGGAGGCCAGGTGTGGCAGGTGACAGGTGAAGCGTGTAATGCAGTACTGAGTGAAATTTCTGCAAGATCTGTAACAGCATCATATCTGAGAGCTAATTATGATTAAGATGATCATGCAGATATCAGATTTCCTGCAACCTCTCAGTGGAAGGCTGCTAGTTGCTTATTCATAGGGAGTATCATAGACTGGAGACTGAGTTCTCAGTTCCGGTGAGATAATGCTGGTCTTTGAGGTAGTATCATTTTAAGAACCACAATGAAAGATCGTAATTCAGCCAGAGATGTCTCAAGCTCGAATTCTTCCTTGTGAATTTGGTAATAAATGGTGTTTTTGTATCTGGTACATACCAATCGGTACATGCACTGATTTCGACTGTGTCTTCGATAGTTAGTGATTCTTAGAAAAAGTTACGAGCGTTCTTCCTCCGATGCATGGCTGCAGTACTAGCAAAATCACCTGAATGATGGAAATGCCTGTTCGTGCCATGAAGGGTTTTCACAGAAAAAGGGTCTTACATTTACGATATCTGAAATTAGAGTAGAATAGAGTCGAAGAAGTAGGATGTCGGCTATTTGCATGGAAACACGGCATGCAAAAATAGCAAGATGAGATGCTTATAATCTCCTTCGGAGAAAAGTTCGGCAGCCACCGAACAAAATTTGGAATCAGCGCATCAATCTGCATCAGAGGATATGCTCCCCATATTGTAAGACCTTATCGACTCAGTATCCTTTCCTCGTCGGTCCCTCATTTCGATTCGACGCTTCTCAGCGAAATGAAACACCTGTGTTCGCCTCTCATTTTTGTCATTTTTCCTTCCGTTTCTTTCCTCTATTCTCTCCATCAAGCTTACATACACTTTGCTAGGAATACAAATTATCATCTTTAAAACAATTAAGATTGTTTGAAAGCATAAAACCACATTATTGGTCATGATCTATCAAAATTGCATACAAGCGAGATACTCCAATCGGACTTCACTTCCAAAGTCATGTTTTTGAATTTTTCAAAAAAAGCAATGTTCGCTTTGGACAAGTGCAGTACGCAGCATCGCGGCCTGGTGGTCCAACTGCTCCTCGTAATCCCGGCTGACCAGGCTTTCCTCTTTCTCCACCATATCCAGGTTTTCCCGTAGGGCCCATGGCTCCAGGCAAACCATCCTGTGCTCGAACACCCGGTTTGCCCGGTTTGCCTCAAGATTGTGTTCATAGCTATGATAGTGAAGGAAGAAGACGCCAATAACCTTGTTTTCCAGGATTTCCACGAGGTCCTTTGCCTCCTCTGCTCCGAACTGGTATCACTCCATTTCTTCCTGGTAGTCCTCTGTTACCCGGGTCACCTTTCGAACCTTGAAAGTAAATTTCTACAGGGTAAATCCTGCATAGCTTCTAAGACACCTGGACGTCCTTGATTTCCACTTGGACCAGGAGGTCCAGGAGCTCCTCTTTTTGGTGTGTAACCAGGATTACCTAGAGGAGAAAGTTCATATCGTAAAATTTACACACGAAAGCGAGATAATTTCACATAGACGATACCTGGTAGGCCTGGGGGACCTTTAAGGCCTTCTTTGCCGGGTGGTCCAGGAAAACCAGGGGAACCTGCGGGACATCGAATACAGCCAATATCTCGCACACTGCAATCGACGGCTGGATACGACTTGAAATTATCTTGACCTCTGGGTCCACGTTCACCAGGAGCTGCCAAAAATTAACTATTACAAAAATCAATGTGGAAAAGCAGGTAAATCGTTTTGCTCTTGCAGGTTAAAAACTTTCTATTGCATTGAAAAATTTGATTATTAAGAGTGATGTAAGGATGATGCAAAGTGACGATGACCTACCACCAGGAGCTCCTTGGGATCCCTGAGGACCTCGAGGACCGGGGGGACAACGGGGGCGTTGTGGCTCACACTGGCAAAAGGGAGGAAAGCTGGACTGTTGCGGAGTTTGGCGAGTCTGAATGTACTATTGAATAAAAAAGTAGTTACTTTAACCGAGTGTTTGAATTGTCGATGCCTGGCAAGAGCACGAAACAGTAAAACATGACAAATCCACCTTCAGCCTATGTAAAATCCCTGAATCAGCGAAAACATCGTGCGTGTTCCTTCTTCGACGTGGAGGGGTCAACAAAATCTGTACATCTAGCAGTTCCTTCCATGACTGGTCGGTCTCCACCTGAAACTCTCTATGGCAAAGTAATTCTTGAAGTCAGAATCAAAATATTATAAGGAATTTCAATACCCTGAACGAGTCTAGCTCGGAATTTAGCAGACTACCCAGCTCCTTCATATCATAGTAAATATCGGAAGAAAAGACGAGTAATGTGATAGTTGCAGACACTACCAGAAATGACGAACACCACACGAAAAACGCTGCAGGATGCATTTATTTTTGAAATGACACTGACTTGTGGCTGTTCATGAACTCGTTTCGATAGGTCCTTGCGAGCGGATTAGCAGGGATAAGCCAGAAAGCTACGTTCTATGTGAAGCTACAACTGCGTTCTTTTTCTTTTGCGTGAAATCAACGACGGAAAAAACTTTGAGTTTCAAGCACATGTCTTGCGAAAATAGATAAACTCAAATACCATTGGACTGCTGAACTTCTATTTGCTTCAAAGGATCGCACAAACCTGGAGTCACCCTCGCGATCGCGCAAATTTTTCCTCCTCCCGTTTTGGTGTTTACGATGTCTACTAGTTCAAAACTAGCAAACGAGTGCATGAAGTGCACACATTTTGTTAACTGATGAACTCCTTTTCTGCGCATTGAAGATTCGCTTACAATGACTGATAAATTGAAAATGCCAAATCGCGCGGCCACTGGAATCGCGTGTACAATCCAATTATCGTTGCACACGATGTCCGTCTTTGCCGTCTTCATCCTGATTTTCGATGCATGCCACTCCGCCATGTGAGGGTTTATGGCGTTTCTTTATTTATCTTCAAATGAGGGAAGGATTCCAGCATTAGCTGGTAACTGAAGACGAGATGTATATCAATGGTAGCGTCTCGGTAAGCCGAATCCACATCTGAATTTCCAGCTGCGGAATAACTCTGTGAAGGTAGCTATGAGGGCTTGAGTCTACAGGTTGCCCCTGCCCAGTCTGCAAGTACCTTACCGTGTTGCCTTCAAGTACAGGCGACTTTGCACGTGGATCAGGCGGCGAAGCGCAGTAGGGAGGGTGAGGGCTACGGTTCTGGAGGGTCGCAGGTACGCACCCGGGCGCTGAAGGTCCCTTTTGCGGCTGATTTATAAGCATGATTTTGAAATATAGAGCATTTATCTATGAAATTACACGGCGCCTTCACTTTTACACAGTTTCAGAAAGGGTTCTTGCTTTTCGCGAATTTTCTCGAAATTTCTGCTGGAAAGAGAAGTACCCTAATTTCACGCGTACAAGGCGCGGGGTGGTCCTAGCTTTCATCAAGCTGCTCAGCCGCCCCAGCGTGTTTTAAGAAGCGATCCTTATGCCGCACGATTCGTCAGGCAAAGCGCACCACGGTATGGGGTTCCTTTGGTTGCGAAATCCTTTGCCGTTTTCGCGCTGGTCGATGAAAGCTAGGACCACCCCGCTCCTTGTACGCGTGAAATTAGGGTATTTGGCCGTACATGAGAGCACGTGAAAAAACATCTGTGAAGTGCAGAAAGACAAAAAAGGTGTGCATGCTACTTGGACGATCACCCAGACTCTGTTGCACCCCGTACAATACTGCTTTAAATCCGATTTAGTTGGAGTTTGCAAGCAAGAGAATTGCGACGAGATGTACTTATACGGTGTGCTTACTGCGATCATTTGCTCTGCTTTCAGCATTTCGTTATTTTCCATGTTGTTCGTAGTATGTTCTTGACCTGTTCATGTTTTATGCCTGTTCATAAAACTTTTCACACCAGATCCTCTTTTTGCAACAGAAAATTTGAGAAAGTGAAGCCAAAATTTTCGTTTGAAACTGTGAAAAGTGAAAGAGCCGTGTAATTTAATAGATAAATCTATATCCCAAAAGCATGTTTATACATCAACCACAAGAGGGACCTTCAACATCCGAAATACGTACCTGCGATCCTCCAGAACCATAGCCCCGCACCTTCCCTACTGCGCTTCGCCGCCTGCCGCTCACCGTGATTATCGCTTGTACTTGAAACCAACGCGGTAGGGGTGCTTGCAAACTGGACAACGGCAACCTGTAGACTCAAGCCCTCATAACTCTCTTCACAGAGTTCTCCGCAGCTGAAAATTCAGATATGGATTTAGCTTACCGAGACGCTACTAATGCAGTTGTAAGTACAAGCCCCCTCACAGTGAGGTAAGCTGTAATAATCGGTCGGTCTCTTACGTTCTCATGCCAGAAATCCAGAATGGAGATGCAAAATCACTGTGTGTCGTGACATATGTACTTGTTCGCATGAAGTACCTCGAGTATGTATATGCCACCTTGTTAAAACATTCCCAACTTCCTGACCATCTGAGATGAATGCGTACGAAGGTGTTCGTCTCCAGCTGTTGCAGCGGAATCTACTTTCGTACCGCGAATCGTTCCGGAGAATAAGCTATGAACGGTTGTCCACTTTTTTGGGTGCCGTTGGTGGTGTTAGTGATGGTTTCTATAGGTGTGAGGTGCAGTGATTCTGTTCCTTTTCGCATCTCACATCATTTTTCACGCGCTTAGTGAAGTAGCTTCGTTGCTAACAAAATTCTTGACATTTCTGAAAAATCTTAACTCATTTACGCACACAAGCGTGTCCGGTCCCGAAATACGGTGCCATTGAGTTGCAAAGGATCAAAGCATTCAGATAAGCTAACAGACTGTTTTTTAGTTTTCAAAGTCAGAAGAATGAATCTGCCCTGATGTCTTCTATCAGGCACCATACCATTGAATTTAATACCCTATTTTTCGGTGTATAAGAGCACTTTATCAAATTTTCAAACGTGCAACTCAGCCGCTTCATTGTTTCGAGATCGGTTTTTTTAGTTCGAGCGTATGCTGCAGCTATTCTCGAATTTCTGGATCAGTATGAACGCAGCCTTATGCCGCACGATTCTTTCAGGACGCATGGTATAGGGTCCTTTAACACGTTAACGACAGCGGGCATTTTCAGCTGTATGCCTTGTGGCAGTGCCTTCTACAGTAAGTTGAGTATTTTTAGCTGAAATCAATCAGGCTGTCATCTGCAGTATCCTACAGTGATTTTGAGAAGCAGCTAAGAAACGCGAAAGTAATTCCTAGGAATAAAGCATAAAAGAACTTCTAAAACCATAGTCATTGCATGACCCACCATGTGGGTCACATCGTCGTCAATGTGTTAATTGCGAGGTCCTTTGATGTGTGTTCGGGCTGGTTGATGTAAGCTAAGACCACGCCACGGCACATCTGAAAATAGGAATATACTCGCATCCTTTAAGACAAATTCTCGTAGAGAATTTGTATGCGTATTGTAACATTTTCCTGCTCTTCAGGAAACTCTGCTCAAGCTCGCTAAACAGCTTACATGTGACATTTGTGTAAAAGCAACCCATTTGCAGTGGTTGTTAAGAGTGGTGAGGCTCCGATGAGTCATTCCGCGAATTTTGAAACACGGACTTCCATAGAACTCTGACGACTGACTTTCAAACATTTCTGAGGAAGTTGAACGGCACAATCTCAAAAATTATTTGAAAGGCATACTAATGCCAAGGTTGCACTTTCATTGTTTCTGCCAGAAGAAAGCTTGAAGCTTGAGCCATGACACCACTTTAGCAGCCATTTTCATGGTTTCTCTTCATGGGACGAAGAAGATTAATAGATTAGAGAGCAAACGGATCGCAAGATGAACATTCTCGTGGGCATGGAATCGCATCAAAAAGGTTCTGGAGCTTCATACGCTGAACCTCCGGGACCTCATTACACGCTGCCCCTCCATCTCCAAGTGTTTCTACCGTTTTAGTTATGAACTATAAACACAGTGAACAGGAGACGTCGTCATAGAAGCCGCGCATTCAACTCTGTTCAATGATTACATGGTCCTCAGCGAACCTGAACGTCTTTTCTTCACAGTTACGCATTTTTCTATAAAGTGTGAAAACATCACAAGATTGTTCTGATCATCTGAATCAACAATGTCAAGTAATATTCTGATAGAAAAAGAAGAAATGCAGCAGTGAAGTTTACAATGAAATAATCACAGGTCAAAACTCGCGATTCATCAAAAATGTCTGTATTTCATAATTCAGTAGTTATTGAGTCATATTAGCACTGCTGTATTAGATAATCAGGAGAATTTTTGGGTTCATTCATTGACTTCGTAAATAGCTATGACGCAAAGACGAGCCGCAGGTGAGGATCATGCAAGGAGAGGAAAATGCGTCATGGCAGTACGCTTTTCTCTGATCTGTTTGTAATAAATAGTGAAGACACTCCAAAATGGATAGACATATTGTTATCGAGGTCTGTGGAGCTTCACATAGAGCTTTGTTTCAGTATGCTAAAGCTTTGTTTCAGTACGCTCCTGTCCTTGGGGAAAATGTTCACCCGTACGGTCCTGAGGTCTGCAGGCACGTTGATGGTGAATATCGTTGGAGCTATGTGCTCTTTAGAAAGCCATGCATGCTCATTTAAATTAGTGGAAATAAAATCCGGATGATTTTCGCGAACAAACGATAGTATTCTTCATATGCTTAAGCATTTTACTGAGTGCCAAACCTAGTGATTCAGAATGTTTCTCTTTTGAAATACTAGTTCTGGTAGATCGAAAACCAGTGAGATTCCCCTCACAGATCGCCCACGGCCTCTGAAAAACTCGCCCACCCATAAGCTGGTAACCCTGATAGTGTATGAGAAGGATTTCGGCAGAAATGTACTCTAACCATATTCGTAGAAGAAGAACGACCCGATCCATCGGCATGAGACCGTATATTGTTGAGTAAACAAATTAAAATGTGGGATGTGGGATGGAATGGTCAAATGAGGGCTATGATCACAATCATTTGCATGTGTACACATATTTTACCGCAGATTCTGTCCTCTACCTAAATAGCACAGAGCTAACCAGTTTTGAACCTTGAAGTTTCTTCCTTCTTTCAGTCACTTTTGAGGAACGACAAATTTCACATAGCGACGAACATAGCAACATAATTTCACATAGCGCAATTTTAATCAGGGCCGGTATGTATCAATCGCCCATCCGGGTAAGTTACCCGGACAGGTAGTTTCAGCTTCATAGCTCAGTGCTCTGGGGATCTGTGTTCTCCCTTGTTTGTTCACTTTGGGAGGCTCTACTACCCTAATATTGTAGCACAATGAGTAGCAGCACTTTGCTCTATAAGCTGAGATATTTCGTTATTTGTATGATTCCGAACGGGATCTCCCACTGATCACGCTCATTTTCACGACCAAGCTATGAAGCGGAAACTATCTGTCCGGGTAACTTACCCGGACGGGCGATTGATACATACCAGCCCAGCTTTTCGTTCTTACAGATACTCCGAAAACATCGTCATCAAACTTTTATGTACGCTTCCAGTGTATAACTCTGATTCAGTAGTTATGGTCAAGCGTGAGATCAGCATGAGCAAGTCGTTTGAAAATGCCCTCTCTCTCGTACACCATCCACCTGTACATACGACCCCCTCTCTCCCTTCAAAATCTCATAATGTCTTGAAGAGATATCAGCGTAAAGTATTCCATTTTTTATAATATGTAATCTGTATTCCTGCGATTGCACATCATCATGACAAATGATGATTTTGATGATAACCCCTTTCAAGAGCCGTAGCTTCCTCAGGAGTGCAAGGCTTGAAGAAAAATCCAGCTATAGCAAGTAAATGTTTCATTCCTACTAGATATATCAAAATTGAAGCGGTTCCGGACTTTTAAGACAACAAGGCAGCCAAATTGACCTCAAAGGTTAGGCTTAACTCCATTTTATTTCCAACGAAACTCTTCCATCCAAGTTTTATTCGTTCTTTATCATAAACCTTGCAGACTTCGCATAAAAAGTCAAATTTTTATTCTTTCTTTTAACTGACTGATGACCCCATAGAAATAATTGTGGATGACTTTAGGAAGGGTAGAGGAACGAAGGCCGCCAGTTTGGGCCGCCGCTTTCGCGGACTACTGCTGGTCCTGAATGACATGCAACAACATTGCGAAAGGATCAGTAGTCCGCGGAGGCAGCTCAAACTGGCGGCCTTCGTTCCCCTGCCCCCTTAGGAAATATGCACATAATCAATGAAAATCACCTACAAAACATAGGGCATCATGAGACATAAAGTAAACAATCTGTATGTCATTCTTGAAAACAATGTGGATTGCAGTGACTAACACATTTATAGCGACATTTCATATTGCTTGCTCATTTTTCAGGCGTACAAACAATGATGTAAGCTTCGACAGCTTTGTTACTATAAATACGTGCCTTAACAACCACAAGCACGGCTAAACTTTTTCAGAAATGCTCCTGACTATTAGCACCGTGATCGCATTCCTGGTCACAGCAGGCAAAGGGTATGGCTTCAAAGCCTTTCATATCCTATTCTAGTCTTTTCAGATGCCCTGTAGGACCCTCTCCTCCATCTGAAAACTTATCCTTGAGCTCTCTCGCCAATTTCAACCTCTACAGATACTATGATCTTGAGAATAAGGACTACAATATGGAATTTTTCTTGGTATACCTCAATGTTATGTGTCTACCACACTGCTAATAGATTATTATTTTTAGAATGCTTTCAAGAAACTTGATGATTATCCAAATTGCACATTAGCGAAGCACATAGCGCTGGTAGAGACCATACCATTTCTGATGGAAGACTATCCGGGTAGAGAAACACGAACAGTGCGCAGCCTTGTGGAAGAAGCACTCGAGAAATCAAAGAACACAGCTATTGAGGTACTCTTATAGATTTACACTCGTGAGGATATTACATGCAAATTAATGAGTGTTTGAAACGAAAGAAAAAAAATTGAAAAAAGATTGAAAACTAGTATTAGTGAAAATCAACAAAAAATTCAGTGGTGGGAGAAGAGCGGTGATTCCCCTATGTCTCTGCTTTTGCTAAAGTTATTCATGTCAGTTCGTCGATTTATCTGCACAGACCAAAAATGTATTCAAACCTTCATATAGCTCTGATTTTACAGGATATAGTCAAGTTCAGAGTGGCTTACACTCTTCAGCTCAATGCAATTTTTTATCTCAATGCTCTCTTCAACAAAGATAACTTAGAATGGAATATCAAACTTATAAAAGTCAGTTTGCTAGCAGATTGTCGCCAGAATGGGTCTTTTTTAGAATGAAACTTTCCAGGAAGAGGACGAAGTCGAAGTGACTGAAGAGATGAAGAAAGAAGCTTCCAGAGATCTCGGTTATAACATCATTGCAATAATATTGAAGTTATTGCTTCCAAACAACATAAATATTTCCAGGTGCAGTGGTACGTATACTTCGAAAGGCTGTAACAACAGGTGACGTCCCCGAGGCTGACGTAAGGCACAGCCTAGGGCTCTTAGTCATTGCGTATCCTCACTCACCAGAGAAACTCCATATGCTTTTTACGGTAAGTAAAGCTTCAGTTAGTTCTTGGATTGTTTGATTGTTGTAAAGGAGGGATTCAACGTTATAAGTCTGTGGGATCAGAAGTTGCTGGAACACAAAAATGCTATTGACAAAATCGCTTGCGAACCAGATGCGGACGCTGACGAGCAGCATTCAGTGGCAGACCGGCAAGCAGGTGGAAGCAGTGGCGGAGAGCCTTCTCCAGACGCCAATCCTGGCGAGTTCATGAACAGCACTTTGCCTGAGTATTATGTACACAACCAAAACTTGACATACTGAAAGTAAATTGACCCTTCGAGCTGATGTATCATTGGGTTTGTTTGGATTATAGTTGCTTGGATTGTAAATTGCAGAAAGATCTTGGTGCAGCGTCCAGGTAAAACCTGTTTTCCTCCGATTAGTACCTCGTCTACAAGAAGGTCTTAGGAGGAGGACAACTGTGTTGGTCCGATACTCCAAAGTGTCCTCTGGATGGGAAAAAAATGAATCTGGGATCCGCACAAGTGTTATAGCCACTCCCACTTTACCAAGCTCCGCTCACTTAAGTAATGAAGACCGTCTGTCTTTCATGAAAGGGTCCTAAAAATCGAATTATTGCTTAGTGCTTAATCTCTCCAAAAGACTTTTAAACTCCAAAAGACTTAAATTTCTAAGGAGAAATGCAAGATCGCTGACATGTCTGCTTAATTTTACATCTTGAAATAAATTTCACCATGAATGTGGGAAGTCAAAAACCGGGAATTTGAACTAATGGCAATTCTGTGAATATTTCGATCAGTTTTCTCACCCAAAGCCGTCAAACTTGACTGATAACTTCAAATGGTTAGTAAGCTAGTGCACTCATCTGGTATTTTTGACTCGTATAGCTTTGAATTGGGCCGTAGTATTGGTGACTTCTGGAAAATCGCCCCTCTTGACCGTCTCCCGCCGTAGTGGACCAGGACGATGGATGTACGATGGAAGATATGCTGCGATCAAGGAATGTGAAGACGAAGGAACCAAAAAAGTTGATTTAGCTCACCAATCTTGGAAATTAGCAGTTGATGAAGAATTCATTGTAAACAGCTCTCCAAATAAATTACACAAATTCATAGCAAATTTTGAATTTTATGTCTGTTACCGTAAACCTGCTGTATCCTCACGAGAGAGGCCGTGGTAGGCAGGATTACTTAATTTTTGATAATATTCTAGCGCCTGGAAGCTTCACAAACTTTCAATCTTGTTCTAGAAGAAAGTCAACTTTCATGCATTTAGCCACGTAGCATGCTATTCAAGAGGAATGTGTTTCACATCCCACTCAAAAAATAATTTGAATGTCCTGCCTGATTCTACCCGCCTTTCTTGTGAGTGCTGTCAAACCTTGAGCTAATGCAAAGTTAAAACAAGTTGCCTCGTACAGTTGTGCTGTAGAATTATAGAGCCATAAATGCCTTGCATAAATGACACGAAAACAACTTGGCAAAGCCCATATGTCTCTTCTATACGCTATAGTCCATCAGTTGCCTTAGCAGTTGCAGTCATAACCATACGAACCCCCTTATTTCGCAGGTTTCTCATCTTTTTGAAAGAGATCCAAGAAAACTGCGGCGATTACATCAGAATTTTTCAAGCGCTGGGAGGCGTCTAAGTAGAATTTAATGTCTCAGAATTTTTTGCACGAGCTGGAAATATTAGGTCGTCCCAAAAGTATTTTCGCTTTTTTCAAACGGCTGCCGCAATCGTGGAACAAACCTTCCTAAGAGTTCTTGGAAGCATTCGATCCAGAATTTCATTCTCTTTCTAAATGTTATGAAATTGTTGCAAAACATTCAATGAGCTTTCAGAAAATAACCAAAATCTGCGACCCATGCTTTTTGAGATGGTCAAGTTTCACGATTTTTTAAAACTTTCGTATCAATCCTCAGAAGGAGTTCAAGTAACGATTCAATAGAATAAACCACATAGAATACAGTACTTCTTTTTTCTCTCTCTTGTAGCCCGCCGTAATTTTTTAAAAGATTTTTTAACAAAGCCATCGGATTTTGACAGTCCCACCTCAGCCACAATCGCATCAAACATCAGTAGTTACTCGGAATTTCAAGCTTTCAAGATGATATATGACTTAATATTGAATTTATAAAGCAAATGAGAGTTTACGGATTCATATCAAATTTCGTGTTTTCCGGGTACAGCCTGGGGTTTCTTAAAAAAATGAATTGTGATGATTTTATCCCCGAAAACTAAACGAATCGGAACAAAAGCACCCATTAGAAAGAGGAGAAAATGCTGCATCAAACAGCCCCGAGCTGCTCTTCCTTTGATGTTCTACAAGGATTTAGCTGTCCAAGTATGGAAATCGGTAGCATCAGTTAAAATTCTATTAAAAATGTATGACAAGCTATGGAAAAGAGGAAAAAGCTGCACTGTATTCTGTATGATTTACTCTATCGAACCGTTACCTGAACCTCTTCTGAGGACTGATATGGAAGTTTTAAAAAATCGCGAAACATGACCATCTCAAAAAGCATGGGTCGCAGACTTTGGTTATTTTCTGAAAGCTCATTGACTGTTTTGCAACACTTTCATAATCATTAGAGATATAATGAAATTCTGCATCGAACGCTACCAAGATCTCTTAGAAAGGTTTGTTCCATCGATTGTGGCAACCGTTTGAAAAAAGCGGAAATACTTTTGGGACGACCTAATAAATTTCGATAAAACAGACATTTTCTAGCAGTGACGCTTGGTCAGGAAGAACTTTTGGCGCTGTAAGAAGGGTATCCATTCTATTCCTGAACTGCCGTAGATTCAGCGAATAGCAGACACATATCTCCATAGGGTTGTAGTTCTACATGGAGTTTTGAGTGCCAGAGTTTGCGCATAAAAAAGAGCTTTGTTCAAGTGGTGTAATTATGATCCACTCCAAAAGCATTTCCAGCGCAAAATAGTTCTATGATTGAGTACGATTTTAATTTTTGTCCTACGCATATGCCATTTCCGGTTACGCTCTCCTATCTGAAGCTAATGGTTTCTTCAAATTTCTCCAAGAGGTCATGAAACCCCTGTAGTGAACTGCGCTGTGAACCTTGTTTGGAAGGCATTCGCTATCCATCAAAAACGTTGTATGCCCATCTAGAGTCAGATTGGAAAGCCGAATACATCTCTCTCCACTATTGTAAGTGCACCGTAAAAACTTGAATAAATAGCGTCTCCGCACCATAGACGTCGTGCGTACCTCCTGGATGCGTTGACACTTTCTATGCAGATCAAAGAAATGATTGGTTGCTTTCACCAGTATGCATTTCTGGAGCCTGAACGGCAATTTTGGCAGCTCTTTTAGATTTATTACGTGAAAGCCATAACAGGCGAAGTTTCAAAGCTTGCACGAGTTCAAAAATGACGCTCATACGCTTTCAGAACGGAATCTCAGCAGTAGCAGTTCTTAAAGTACAAGGAGTATAAATTGTGATATAGGAGGTACCTTCACTTTTTAAGGTAGGGCCTCTTGGCTTGCGGCAGGTTCACGGCAAGAGCTCAAAATCTCGTATTTCATAGAAATGCTACAAAGTACTTTCATTCGGTATGCTGCTCACAAACCATATTCATTCATTTACGGTAACCCGGGAGCACCTGACCCAAGCTCGATCCTGTCTATGAAAAATTGGAAACATACAAGAAGCACATTCATTACAGACGACATGGGAGTTCCCACGTAGGCGGCAATAAATAGACCAAGATTAATTTTTTTCAAGAAAGTATATACAACCTGGATTTCAACAAAACAGCTCATTCAAAATTGAGATCGATAGAAAATCATTCAATCGATTTGAACGAGGGGCTGAAAAGCTGTGAACACTTCAATTACGTAAAATTCGTAGTGCTCTTTGAGGATACTTTCAAATTCGATAAGATCGAACCTGTGCAACAGTACATCTCTCAGATTGGTATGTTTTTGAATTCCATAAGAAGTTTAGTTACAGGCGATAGGACTAAGCTCTTACAAACAAAACAACCTTTTGGAGCTGAGCGCTGAACGAATTACGATGAAGCGAACAAGTTAGTGGCGGGAGTGATACTTTTTCTAGAAAGAAGCCACAACCCTTTTCATGCCACAAATCAAAAACCTCATCAGTTTCTTGTGGAACCAAGACAGTTTATATTTTTTGATGATTTCTCGGATCCTCCTTACACTCTTAACTCGCAATAATTTACCTCAGATCTCTCTTTGCCAAGAACTACCCTTGGAAGTTATGTTGCAGTTTAGTTAGCTGGCAATTTACGATCACGATAAGTACTCAAATATTCTAGAAAGGACTATTTTATAGAGGCCAATAAGTTTTCTCTCTCAAGTTTTGTTTTTTTTTTCAGAGAAAGCCGATCGTTTATGAAATGGTAGAGTGTCCGAAAGACAGGATGAATGTTTTCGGAAAGAATTACTCCCATAAAGAAATCAAGTTCTTTTCAAATTTTTGCCTTCTCCAAAGAAAGCTGAACATTTAATTTGACTGGTTGGAAAGGTGAAGTGTCTAGTCAGTAGATCAAGATGCTGATCAAAACTTCCTTTATGGGTGAGAAGTTCCAAGCATTTGGACAGGGAGGCGAGGAAAATGTGAAAGCTAAAATGCTCTTCACTTCTCGAAAAACATTATGTAGACAATTTGACTGGAAAATATCTGCCGAAAAAGTACGATACCGCTCCATTGAATGCCGCATTCATAACTAAAGAAGTGGATCCACAAGACTGTATAGCTTCAGCTTCAGCTTTCAGTCCTACTGTGTACGTACAAGATTACTCGTGCATACCAGCGCATTCGAGACACATTGGAAGAGACAAGGTTGCATTTGTGCTGAATCACGATGTATACGTCATAACGTTGGCAATTCAAAACAAATTTTATCTGATTGATCAAAGTTTTATCAAGTCAGCAAAACTGAAGGAAAGCCTTTGCATGTTCCTTCGAGACTGCCTTTTGATACAATAGAAAAGTCCGCGACTTAGTGTTTCATCCATAATGCCTTGAGAGTGCCATTTCTTATAATCGCATAAGCTATCTAATTTCGATCTCGCTATTTGACATGGTGATGTATAGGGATAAACTTTGATCCTATAGTATCCATGAACGTATTGCATAAGTACAGCAAGTGGAAATCTTTCGGTTTATAGTGCCGAAATAAGGAAGGTTTTATTGTTATTCTCATGCAGACGTAGTTAAGTAAATAATTGTTAATACATATTGTTGTTGTATGAATTCGATCGTATTTTTATATCAGTAGTCAAGAAGGGATCCGTTTCAGGCGGCTCTCACAGAGAGTTACCCTAATTTCACGATACAGGACGATTACCTACCTCACCTTCTTCGATTTATAAGCGAGCAGCTTAGCCGCTTCACAGTGTTTCGGAAGACTGGTTTTATGCCGTGCCATTGTCTTTGGCAGTACGCAGCACCGTATGTGGTTCTTTGGTCGCGATATCCTTTAGCGTGTTTGGGCTGGCCGATTTCAGTAACAAAACCCCCTGCATTTTTCTACTCGTGAAATTAGGGTATAATAGAATATGATAATCACTGACCAAAAAAGATCCTTGTATTTCAACCATATTTTCTGGTTGAAAAACACACATGTGGTCGTATTCAAAAAGGCCAAAGTTGACAGTCAAAAACTGAATCCAAATTCAGCCAAGCTATTTGCATCTTATTAGCAAATTGTTCTACACACAAGAGCATTTGATTTACAATGAAAATATTACCATTTTCTCCAGAAATGCGCTTAACAGGAGGCTCAGGGATTAGCATTCAAAACTTTGATCAACAAAAAGCAGCACGTTCCTCACAGACTACCTCCTCAATAAGTATCGTTTTCGAGTCGGTATAAAAGCTAAGCACAGTATCTACTCCTCAAAGATCGCTGGCGGATGTTTTGGCTTTTGTAAATAAAGTAGCTGTCTAAAGAATTTGCGCCAATATATTAGATTGTCCCATAATTTACCGTTTTTACTTCGACGGTCGGCTTTTTGTATTTTTCCTCCAAGTAATGCCGCTTCATTAACCATTCGATAGGCAAAGCAAGCTCTACAAGCTGGCTATCAAGAGTCTGCACAAATCGTAATCCACGTAAAGTTATGAGCTGAAATATGATAGCGGTCAAGAACGAATTTTACTGTCAAAAATCGTATCTCCGCCCCAAAAAAAAACTTTAAAAATTCCTTTTCTAGCCTAGCATGTGCTTGACACATCGGACAATCAAGCATGCAGCTTTCGTATTTTTTCCATGGCTAGAAATAAAGAAATAATTGAATGGAGTAAAATGGCAAACTTCGCCCCTAGAAGTCCTGAGATCCTCCCACACAGGTGATCGTATAGCTCATACGTACAGGATTACGATCATGTATTTGAAAATAAGTGCCCCTGTTTTCGAGAAATGCTGATGTTTAAGGTAAAAACGGTAAATAATTATGGGACAATCTAATAGTTTGCGTCAATTACGTACACCCTTCGTAGGGACTACGCATCCGCATGAAGATGAAGGAAGGAGGCAACTAACACCTGTACATCGAAATCGAGAACGCGCATGGATGCATTTGAATTGTTTATCCAAAGCAGAAATGGAGCAACAGTCATTTATCACTGCTTTCAACTAGTTGATGTCCTTCGGCGAAATTCTTTGCAATGGTTCAGATTCACTGGTTTCTACGGCCTACTCACTATTTACGTATTGTATCCTCTTCTGTTTACTCTACACGGATTAATTCGGTACATTCGTGCGCGCTGGTTGAGCCCAAACTTTGTGGAAATAAATATAAATTTACAAGTGCAATACGGCAGTTAAGTAGAACACAATCCAGAAGCAGCTGCTGTTACTCAAGGCAGCGATAAAAAAATGATAGCACATCAACAGAAGTGGGTGGTAAACAATGTTGGCTTCCAGTCGAATATTTTGTTGGAAATTTTCACCGCTGTTTACTTTCCCACTCCCAATTCTCCAGCTGTCTGGCTATAGCTAGCTCGTACAACTATGTATATTCACTTTCATGCAGAGACTTAGCTGATCATCTAGCGTCTTCCTTTTGTAACAATTGAAACTATGAAGTACTGCGCGACTTTCAACAAAGTGGATGTAGAAAATGTTTGTGAGTCTACATGGCTCTCCTTGTTCCAACCACGTCTTTTCATAGGTCAACACGAAAAGAAGACTGAGTAAAGAAAATCTCCTTTGCGAACTTAGCAGATGTTCTAGATAAACTAGTGAACTAGTAATTAAAGGCGCAAGATTGCATACTTCGGGACCACACCGCGGTTTCCCGCTATCGCAAGATTTTTGAATTGAGCTAACGACTTTACATTAGATCGTCGCGAAAGTTCTTTCGCACCAAGTTCAAAAATTCATAACTTGTTGAATTCTCAACGAATCTGCAAGATCTAAATTTTGCCTAAGAGAGGAACTCATGCTCTTTGCGAATGTGCTTGAACTGTTCGTTAATGTATACAAATGAAGGAGATAGAAGCTCAAAACCAAAATCACTCAAAATTTGAATTTTTCGTGTAGGGTCTTAAAAGATCGGAAACCTGCAACAAAAATCGGTGCAGTCGGTATTGTAGGTTCTTTCACCAGCTCTTTCCAATAGTGTAAAGTTTGCGCCGATTGAGCGTCTTTATGAAAAGTTATGATTTCCCTGAAAAATGCCAAGATAAATCAAATTCGCACTTTTGTATTGCTTGCTCGAAAATCATAATTTTTCATAGAGACGCTCAATCGGCACAACTTTGCACTGTTAGAAAGAGCTGGTAAAAGGACCTACAATATCGACTGCTCCGATTTTTGTTGCAGGTTTCCGATTTTTTATGACCCTACACGAAAATTCAAATTTTGAGTGATTTTGGTTTTGAGCTTCTATCTCCTTCATTTGTAATCACTAACGAACAGTTCAGGTATAGTTGCAAAGAGCATGAGTTCCTCTCTTAGGCAAAATTTTGTTCGTACAAATTCGTTAAGAATTTAAAGAGTTATGAATTTTTGAAAATGGTGCGAACGAACTTTCGGTCCAACCTAATATTTTTGTCAAGACTTTGGACTTTGTGCTGTATATGAAGAATGCGAGAACTGCCAGATCGCCTATACATCTCCATCTACGAGTCAATTTATTGTTCTCCCTTCTCTTTATTGGTGACTTGAGCATTAGACAACCTCTGGTCAGAACATACATACCTCAGGATATTGGCTCACCCTGAATCTCCTAGATTAGTCCTCTAGAAAACTTGATATAGCGCGTCTGTATCTTCCGAAAGCACCCAGATATTTCCGAAATGCTTGAGGACATGGAGCTGATCTTCTAAAATGGACATGACCGCTCTCTAAGAAGTCCATCAAAAGGCGCAATAATTGACTCAAGTGGAGATTTAGCGAAACTCATAAACCATTTGAAAGCATTTTCAAATTTTTCTGAAAGCATAACGCGCATTGACCAATACCGTCGTTTTTCACGAATTTCTGTTCTGGATCCTTGCACCGTCGTAGCCTTCTGACTTATGGTCAGTCCCTTTCTTCCAGCATCGTGCGTCGTCCACTGTTCTATGGAGCCTCAAAAGGTCCTAAAAAGCTCCACAAAAGCCTTCAAACGGACTACAAAAGTCTTTTCTTTTCCTGCTTTTTTTGGAATAATAGGCTGCTGCATGACGAAGGCGCAATATCTTTGGGCGGAAACGCGGCTTTATCAGCCGCAGAGCGCATGGGGCGCAGGATTCACAACGGTGAAAATACGCGCGCGCCGCGTCCTCGCCCGCTCAACTAGTAGTGCTTCCGCGCCTTCGTCGTGCATTAGCCTTACATAAGGTAATCACAACGGTCCGGTTGCTCACAAAATGTGAAAGCCAAACTGTTTTCATAGAGCAAATACATGGTGATCTTGCTGCTGATTTTTATGCCTTCTTGCATTCGAGACTTTGGTTAGCTCAAGAGTAACATTGGCTTACAGGCTTGTCTGATGATCCGCCTTTCAAAAAGCTACTAACCGAAGTATGACACCTCACTCGGCTGCCAAACCTTCATGACCATTCCTATAATTATGAGTGCTGCACCAAACTTCCTTAACAGTTGACGACAGCGTGCATTTTTAGCTGTCTGCCTTGGGGGACAATGTCTTCTACAACTAAACTGGGTATTTTTAGCTAAAATCAAGCAGGTCGTCATCTACGGCTTCCTGCAGTGATTCTGAGAAGCAGCCAAGAAGCGCGAAAGTAATTTCTAGGAATAAAGCATAACAGAACTTCTAAAACCGCAGTCATTGCTTGACCCACCATGTGGGTCACGTTGTCCTCAATGTGTTAAATTCTTTGATATCAGAGTCAGGGTGATTTTTCCCTGCCAGATTCAAGACCTTCTGTAATCCACTTAGCCCCCACATTATCCATTTATTTGTTCAGGTAACGTGCGAGCTCGCAAACTAGAGAGTAGCTTCGATTGCTCTCAAGCGGCTGTAAGCAAATTCATACTTCTACTTCACTGATTTTCATTTCTGTTCTTCCTGATAATTCATTTGTTCCTTTGTGAAACTGTAAGCTCGACAACTGCTCATCTTGAGAAAATGCCTGTATCTTACACAGCTCAACACTACAATGTGCTCAATTACAAATGATGCACGCACGAACGAGCTCTCGTCCTCCAACACTCTCAAGACCTGCATTGTTCAAACACTGCGCTTTCTCCGGTCCTTGATGCCAAGTTTACCCTCTTCTGTTCATCTCAGCTAGTGCTACTCTGAATTTTGTTCGTTCACCAGGCTAGAGCACGCAGATATAACTCTTCGATCCCCTTTACTACTTCGCTACAGTGCATCATTTTGTGCCCCGCTTTATCGGCAGCATTTCTACAGCAGTTTGCGCATGTTTGCGTTCAAATTCCTGGTTGTGAATTTTTCTGCTGAAATTTGACGGATAACTAAACTTTCTTCAAAGATGCTTCTCAACTGGGTGATACTCCTTCCCTTGTCGTTGGCAGCAATTTGCCCCTTGGAACGTCACCAAGTTTGCAACCTCATCGCTGCGGACGACGCCGAACATGTCAGGGAAAATAGACATCGTTGCACTTGTGCCATAACGGCTCTATCGGTGAGCGTATAGAGTTCTTTATCAGTAGTTTTAGAGCTGTTAAACTCATCTCATGTTCTTATCGACCTACTTGCCCTGCTCCCAATAATCATCGCTCAGATTTCAAAGTGATCCGAAAATACGAAGCGCTCTTTGATAAGAAGTCAGATGTTGCCAATATTTCTTCCTCTTATTATAAAAGTTTCATTCAAGTAAAGCAAAGTCAGCTTCAACGTTAACGTTTGAGGCAACAAAGTCTATGACACTTCTTCTAAAGTTCTGTTAGTTCGTACAAATAAGCTAACTTAGCCTTTTCACATATCCGAATTATTTCTGAGCGATTAAGTTACGTACAGTCGAGTAGATTTAGCGGTAAATATAGTGTGCTTGCACAGAAGGTGAAATGCGGTAAAATTGGCGCGTGAAGAAATGATTTCGACTATGACGCCGGCCAATTGCGCGCGCAAAATACCCGCGGTACTGACGTGGCTACTTGTTCACGCGCAAATTTCACCGCATTTCAGCTTCTGTGCAAGCACACTATATTTACCGCCAAATCTACTCGACTGTACTTGATTCGTTACATACACAGAGGATCTTGCAAATGAAGTAAGATGCTTATTCGCCTCCCTTTGATGTTCGGTAAAGATTCATAAAAACATTCAGACCACTTTCAGGATAGGTGGGATTGTCCTCTTTCAACTATACATAGACTTTTGTAGAACCCATTACTTTCATAGATACTTCAAAATGTTTCCTCTCCTTTACCACAGTACTTCTAAGCTTCTATGCATCACTATGAGGATTTTTTTATGTAGAAGAATTCTTTCTTATCATCAATGCTCCAATTTGTAGGAATTTAGAGTAGAGGGAGAAACTGAAAACCTGTTAGTTGTTTCTTGTTTACTACAGTTTGAGAGTGCATTGTTAATTTTGGAACGCAGCTCACATCTGGTAAAAAGGGACACGGTAATTTTATGTCTCTCATATAGGGTAAGGTTGTGAAAGAAAGATTTACTCGATTGAGCAAACTTGTCCGCGTACTAGATCATGCTAACAAGATCAGAAAAAATAGGCGTCTGAACAAGAAAGAAATGTAGAAAACACTTCATACGGCAGCGAATTCCTCAGCGATTCCAGAGTCATATAAGAGTTATGATTATGAGGGCACATGCAAAAGGCGGGAGAGTGAAATTCATAAGCAAATGAGTAAAAGTCATCAACCCAGAGTAAGAAAATTCTTCTCCGTTACTTATCACTCCATTGCGTGATATGTCGAAGTAATTATGTTGAGACTGATCAACACTGCATTCATCAGTCTCATATTCTATTTTCTCAATTTCAGCAAGCTGCACGACTAAATGGCACCCTACCAGAGTTAGTAGACATCTAGCCTCACTAGTCTATCTCAGAGTGGACCGCTAAAACTGTCTTCTAGGATAGGCCACCACCAGAGCAATCGTGCACAAACTTCATAACTCTCGATGAGGAGGAGAAAACTTTTCCGGTTGTTTCCATCACGTTCAACCTGAAAGAGTCCCCAGAGCTAGACGCTTTCCCAGAAGAATCATTTCGTGACACCATTGCTGGGGCGCTACGAGTTAATCAGGTAGTAGTGCTTTTTTGGATCTGTCACAGCTTGATATTTCGGTATTTAGGACAACATTTTGATACTGAGAGTTAACTGCAAGGGTACGAAGGACACTCTTACGGTGCAGTTCGGAGTGCTCAAGCCAGTGAGTATTAGAGTTAATCTCCGACACCTGTTAAACCCACACACGAGTTAGTCTGTGAATCGTTCACAGAGCCTCGAACTCGTTCAGCGATTTTCACCGAAAAAAGTCACTTTTCGAACATATACTGATTTCCAAAAAAGGCGCTTGTTCTTTTTGCGGAGCTATACTCATTCAATTGTGACGACAAAATTTGCTGTTACGGCTTGCGATTAGGCTCTTCTAACAAGGGAAGGATACTTGATCGAAGTAGCGTTTCCATATGAAATGTCTATTGTCTTGTAAAACATGGAATGCTGACTTCATATCTGCTTTCGTTATCAGCAAAGCGCTTCTGGGAAGGGAGTGAAATTTGTTAAAGCAAAAATTTGAACGCGCGGCTGCAATAAAATCATTCAGAGCTGTAGTCAGGGCCCGGCGCAGATGGTTTGAGATCAAACTGAACTTCGTTTCTGGGGTAAAAGCAAAGGATGTATTGTAAAATCTGCTAAACATACATGTAAATGACCTCCAGATATGCTAACCATTAAGTTGGTACATGGATAGCATTCTCTAACATTTTGGTTGAAACCAATGTCTCGTTTGACGATAGTGGGGTTGAAATCTTATATATAAAGCTGAATGTCTGTTTGTATGTATGTATGTCTGTCTGTCTGTCTGTCTGTCTGTCTGTCTGTCTGTCTGTATGTGTGTACGTATGTTCCGAATAGAAAATTCCATTTCTGAACCGATCTGGACCAAACTTGGCACACATACACTTCGGGCCCCGGCGGGTGTCATGATTTTATCGATTTTTTGCAAAATTTGAGCTACGGGGCTGGGAGTTGGCACAGGGGGGTAAGTGAGCATGGGGAATCCGAATACAATATTAGTTTTTAAAATCTTGCATTACTTTTATCGATTTTATCGATTTTTTTGCAAAATTTGAGCTACGGGGCTGGGAGTTGGCACAGGGGGGTAATCGAGCATGCTGATCACCCCCACGGGGGTGATCAGCATGCTCGATTACACCCCTCTGCCAAATTCCAGCCCCCTAGCTCAAATTTTGCAAAAAATCGATAAAATCGACATCAATCGATAACGAAAAGTGGACTGTGACACCCGCCGGGGCCCGAAGTGTATGTGTGCCAAGTTTGATTCGGATAGGTTAAGAAATGGAATTTTCTATTCGGAACATACGGCGGAGCCGGGTAAGCCAGCTAGTATTTAATAAGACGAACCCGATGTTGACCGGGGGGGGGGGGGGGAGGGAGCAACGAATACGTATGATACAGGTGATACAAATCACCAACAAACGTGTGGTTCCTCATCGAGCGCACCGAATTGAAAATGACGCTCAAATAAACAAATAGCCTGTTTACAGCCCGCTAGCAATTACGTGAAAACGAATTCAGGTTATATGTATGTACACAGCATCATTTCAAATTACATCATGCACAGATTTTCAAAAACTTATTTGTCCTAATACCTGTTCCCGAATTTTTCGGTTTCTGGACCATCACCAAACCAACTGGGTTGGTTCGGAGCATAAATACCTTTTCACTTTGAACGATTGGAGCGCTCAAGAATCTATCATGTAGTGAAGAAAGCGAATCAAACCATTGCCTTTCCTCTTTTTTTGAGCCAAAAATAGTCGCATTGATAGATATGGCGCTCCAGACACATTCCTGCCAAGGCGTCCTTTAAACTGACGGCAACTGTTCTTTGTTTCTGTCGTTATTGTTGTTTCGAGCTGTTGTTGTTTTCTTACTAGTTTACGTCAATGTAAATTACTTGAAGATTTACGAAGTCATGGGGGACCTTATTTCAAAAACCCTCCAAACCAACGCATGGGGGTCCTGATTGCAGCCTGTGAGCTCAGATGGGGCCATGATCACTGCCAGGGCGCTTTATGCAATTAATATCCAGTTCAATAAACTCATGCTAGCCATTAGTTCTTTCAAGCTCCGGAAGGACTCAAGACTTGGTTTTACCTCAGCCAAACCTTGAGATTTAACCTTAAAATCCCACAATTCCCCGACCAGAGCATTGCAGGTAGCGAAAGCAGATTTGGAATTAGCTTTCATGCTCTAAAAGATAAAATTGTACAGTCGAGCAGAATTCCGCTTAATATAGTGCGCTTGCACTGTAGGTGAAATGCGGTAAAATTTGCGCGTAAAGAAATAGCTACCCCTGTTACGCCTTCCATTTGCGCGCGCAGAATGCCGGCATAATTGGCGTGGCCAATTTTTTACGCGCAAATTTTAACGCATTTCACCTACAGTGCAAGCACACTATATTAAGCGGAAAATCTACTCGACTGTATATGACCACTTCGACCAGGTATCCTTCTCTTGCAAGTGTTGTAATGCAAATGTGCAAAATCGCAATGGTTTTTCTCGAACAATTATTTACCATATTCTGATGTTCATGATGCCTTGATAATCTCCTATTTTGTGGTGTAATGATACCTTCCATGTAGATTATTCCATTACAGCAGTCGGTGGCAGAACTGAAGAAAAAGCCGAAGAAGAGGACAGTAAAGGAGGGCAAAAGTGATGACGGTGACAACGAGAATGACGATGGCGATGAAGAAGAAGAGGAAGAAGAGGAAAAAGACGACAACGAAGGTGAAAACGAACCTAGTGATGCGAAAGCTGATGACAAAAATACGAAGAATGGCAGAAAACATAACGACGATGATGATGATGATGATGACGAAGTCAAAGGCAATGCTGGAGAAGATGATGACGACGACGAGGATGAGGGAAGAGATGATGGTGATGACGACAAAAATGATGATGACGAGGCTACAGTTAGCAAAATAAAGAAGCACGGTCGAAAACATACTAAAATCGAAGCCAAAAAGTCGAAAGATGAGAAGAGCAAAAAGCATCACCAAGACATCGTCTCGGTGAAAAAGGACGATAAGAAGAATAATGGTGAGGATGATGATGTTGATGATGATGATGATGATGATGATGATGGCAAAGAAGGAGATGACGATGACGATGATGACGGCAAACACAAAAGCATAGGCGAGAAAGACGACGATAAAGATGACGGCAGAAAACACAAAACCAAAGGCAGGAAAGATGACGGTAAAGATGGTGATGAAGATGATGAAGATGATGATGAAGATGATGAGAAAGTACATAAAAAGAAGAAAACAGTAAAAGGAAAAAGTAAGCACCGCCACGATGACGACGATGACAAAAAGGATGATGAAGACGATAAGGACGATGACGATGATGACGATGATGGGGATGAATTAGAGAAATACGACGAAGATGATGAAGATGAAGAGGAGGAAGATGAAAAAACAAATGAGAAAACAGGGGAGGAGAAGGATGATGATGACGACGAGGAAGAAGAGGAGGAAGAAGGCGAGATAGATTACGAAAAAGTGAAATATGTAGCTGATCAGTTCCTGGATGCCCAATCTATCGCTACAAGAATGAAGGCTATGGGTCACCTGAACCAAATCGCGGATCTGCAAGTCGATTCTATAGAATTTGTAAGTCCCCATTTTCTTTTGTAATTACTGGCCAAACAGAAACTGCATTAACATGCTTCTAGTAATGGTATGTTTATCTAGCCCGAGATATCATCAAACATCCAGCGTGGACAAAATTGATTTTACTACTTGTGCCTCGTAGTTCTGAACATTTCAGCAGCACAAGAAATGCTGTGCACCTTATATCATGCTGATGCAAAAAAATGAGTGTTTTAGACCTTGTTTCAGGACAATTTTTTGCATCAAGCATTCTTCGTTCGAAAAGACTTGGCATATTGCTGAGAACCTCTTTTCATGCTCTATCTAATGATGATTGAAGCGAGCTTCTATCCTCACTTATTAAAAATTTTCAGTACTTTGCAATCGCGCTCAAAACCAGAATTTAATGCTTTTACTTTTCTGGCCAGAATTCAAGTGCAAATGATGCCGTTCCTTTGGAAAATTAGCTACAATATGTAATAGGGGTTGTTTACAATATGCATGCTTTAGTATTTTCTTAGACATTACTCGAACAGATATCGGCGCCTCAGCATAGGTAGTCGTTTTGGTCATCCTGTGGGCCATAAATTCTTTCCTTCTGCTGACAGTTTTTGCACAAACGTTTAAGTGTTTAGTACGCAGAAAACCAAAAACCCCATAGTATGAGACTTCGAGGCCTGCAAAAAAATGTTGGAAAATGCTGACTTCTTTTTTGCAAATCTTCTTTGGTTTAAGCCCTTCTCGTCTCCTTTTGCATTGGTTTGTGGCTACAAGATAAGCTACAAGATATCATCAATACTAACAAACCCTAAAGGTAACCATGATTTAATAGAAAAGAGGGTTCAGAAGAAACTTTTTTTTTATCAATTTATGTCTTTCTGCTTGTTTGTGATACGAGTATAGGCTGATGTGCTCCGTACTGCATGAAGTTCGCTACTTCCAATGTTCTTTATCGCATTGAGAAGTATAGATTTTTGGATCGTTATAGCAGGTCAAAGTGAGAACTCGCAAAACGCTCATTATTTTTGCACCAACCCTATTACTTACTCATTACTTGCAAATACATTAACCCGCTTAGATCAATTAGGTTGGCACGTAACTTTTCAACTTTTCCTATAAATTTCTTCTCATTTGATAGCACTCTCAATCTCTGAAATCATGTATGATATGACGCCAGCTGCAAGTGTGCGCAAATCTTTTGATTTTTGATAACGTAATAGAAGAAAATCTAAACATTTTTCAAATATCCTTAAAAATTGAGATTTCACGGTTTTTTGGCAAACATAAAGCCGTACAAAACCTGGATCAAACATATCAAAAAGAAACTATAAACAGCATGTAAGTAGAAGCTAACACATTAGGGTCTGTAAAAAGAAAAAAGGTATGAAATTTAAAGACAAATTAAGATAGGGCGCCTCTGAGAAGTTGAACAAGCCAAATGCGTCAAATTGGAAGGGCCCTCTGTCAATAGCTACGCTGCGAAAAGTCAGAATTCGCTAAAACTTTGCACAGTAGGGTAATCAATACGGTAATCACGAAGATCATACTCATTTGTCGCTAAAATTAAATCAATTTTTTGACCTTACAAAGGAGGTCTTTTCATGCAAAAGGGTTTCATTTTTGTGATCAGTACGTCGAATAACCTCTACAGGCCAAATTCCAGCAGAATCTAACGCAAGCTAAAATTTTTCCCATTATACCGTAAACCTACCGTAGCCCTTACATAAGGCGGCAAAATTAGGCAAAGGTGTCTGCATTTGCTGTTTATATCATAATCCTTATACTGCCATAAAATGAATGCGCTATGTTCTATGAGACAAAAGTTATATTAAAAGTTGCATTACTGTGTGCCAACCTAATATTTTATGAAGCTAAGCCTATCCTTATCGATATCTGAGCAAACCCTCCGCTTAACCTGTAGAGTGCATTCCTTATTATTCACCATCCGGTACTAGCAATTTTTCGCATTGATGCTGATTTTCAGCATTTTCGCATTCAACTATTTCCACAATTTTGCACTTTCGTTTTGTTGTGGGATTATTTCAAGATGGGATCATCATCGTACTTCAAATGTTCGAAAGTTCAAAGCCAGAATTCCTGTGATGGATATTTGAACCTGCGTCTTTCGTAAGTGATGAGTATCTGAATAGGCATTAAACATGAAAATTCCGCAAGAAAAGCTGCTGTAAGAATGAAGTTTTTGACCTATAGACAGCGCCTATTACAAGGCCTATTTTTTAGTGCGTCATTCGACGTTTTTCACCTTCTTGTCGCTTCCACATCCAATGATGTTCTCTGCATTGTTCTAGATTCCTGGGCAAAGATGTCGGCGTACTTACATACAAACTGCAAAATTATCGAATGAGGAGAGCGGAAAAAAGGAAGTAAAAGGGGAAAAAGATATTTGCATTTTTATCTACCCAAAGCATAAGTGGAAACTGTAAGCTGGCGACATTGCTCGCTTTAAAAATGGAGCCTTTTTTTTTTTGAAGCAAGCAAATTCCTACCAGATGTTCGAGGAAAAACGCGTCAGTAAACATAGAATGAAGGAAAAACTGGTTTCAAAAACAAGGTCTCTGCCTTATTTCTCATATGATGGGGGAATGTTCATGGTGAGTGCACTTTCAAAGTTTCAAGATACACTGCACTCAGACAATTGCATCGGAAAGTTCGCGGCCTCAAAGGGTGCCACATGGGGCGCCGCGGCCCTTAAAATTTCAGCCGCGCACGCCGCGGCCCATGTATATTTTACCGGAAACGCCGCGACCAAAGTTAAAATTGGAAAGAGCTTTTCGGGAGAGTCGCGGCCCAATCACCTCACTCGGCGTGCCGCGGGCCTTATCAAAGGCCGCACTTCTTACACGCTGTAGCTTAAGGCCAACCTGCGTGAGGTACGCCGCAGCGATGGAGCTACCCTAAGTGTTTGTGGGGATGGTAATCGCTTCTCGGGTTGGGTTGTGTGACAGTGAGTTTATATGGTTACGAAACAAACTTCAGTAATCGGTTGAGTGTTATCGACGACAGTAGATGATGTCGACAGATCGTATATATAAAGTTGAATGTCTGTATGTCTGTCTGTATGTCTGTCTGTCTGTATGTCTGTACGTATGTGCGGAATAGAAATTTTTATTTCTGAACCGATTTGGACCAAACTTGGCACACATATACTTCGGGGCAGGGAGCGTGTCATAGTTTACTATCGGTAAAATCGACATCGATCGATAACGAAAAGTAGACTATGACACGCTCCCTGCCCCGAAGTGTATGTGTGCAAAGTTTGGTCCCGGGCGGAGCCGGGTTTGCCATCTAGTGAGCTAATAAGTTGCTCAATTTGTACTCAGTCCTGTCATGAAAGACAGGCCAAAATTATTTCATTCTTCCTAAGCCTCACAAGCATGCTAATCGGGTCAACTATCGGGCGCTTAAAGGATGCGCCGCGGTCACTTACCGGGTCCAATATCGGTTTATACCGGGCAGCTCGCGGCATGGATGATTGGTGGCCGAGCAAACACCCGCGAACTTCCCGATGCAATTGTCTGAGCAAGTAGCCAGAAGGATTGGAGCCAAACGCTGTATGAAAAGCAAGGGGTTGAGGAGGCAGCAGGCAAAAAGTGGAAATGCAATCGTGCCTAGAAGATACTGTAGAACCAATAGGGTTTTTGACTCTGGTAGGAAATATTGACTTGATTTCGATAACATGTAGCAGTATTCATCGTTTGTGTTTGTAACGACGTGGATTAGGTGCCCTGACGAAGGCGCTGATTGTCAAAGCTACTCCATTAGTAGATGACTTCCCACCTTCCGCATACTGTTGACCCTAATTTCTATCTCATTGCATCAAATCGGTTGATGAGATTCTAGCATGTCGCTCAGGTAGCAGACAGATCTGTTGCCCTTTCTCGGAAAAAGTTCTATACAAAACTTTTTCAGCAGAAAGGTCTGAAGATTTGAACGTTCTCTGAGCGCACTATTTCACAGGATACTTCTGCATTATACTGTCCATGAAAACCATCCGCGGTGATCAGCTCAAATAACTTTCCGCTGCCTTGTCTTCAAATGAAGGTTCTGCTTTATTTCATTGAAGGATCTTTCTCTGTGCAGTGAATTACATGATTACCTCACAGAAATCGAAGACGCTTCTCCGAGAGAAACCGCCATATTTTCGCCAACACCTTTCATAGTTTACACTTCGTTTTTTTGAACCTCACTAAACACTTTCGATATTTTTATCTAGGCTCGATCTGCCTCTTGTTACTCTAATTTTACGAGTTCAAGGCCATTTTTTCGTTTTTCAATGCAAGCAGCTCAGCCGCTTCCATGCCTCGCGAAACAATCCCTATGCTGCGCGAATCTAGGTAATACGCAGCACGTTAGAGGGTCCTTAAGTGCTAAAACTAGCTTGGGCGATCAGTCGACTCAATTAGGGCGTCCCATAATCATTTACCGTTTCTGCTACAACCGTCGTCTTTTTGTATCTCTCCTATAAGTGATGTGGCTTGAGTAATCATTCGACAGGACAAACCAAGCTCCATGAAATAGCTACCAAGAGTCTGCCCGGATCGTGTACCACGTGAAGCTTTGAGCTTAAATCTGGTAGCAGTCAAAAACGAATTGTACCGTCAAAAATCGTATCTCCGCCCCAAAAATTCTCAAAAATTCCCCATTTATTCTAGCACATGCTTGACACATCGAACATTCAGTTGTATACTTTCCTATTCTTTCCATGGCTAGAAATGAAGAAAATGAATGGAGTAAAATGACAAACTCCGCCCTAGACGTCCCGAGCTGCTCCCACGCACGTGATTATAAAGCTGACATACAGAAGTACGATCATTTATTTGTACCCTTTGTAGACGCCCCATTTCTCGAGAAAGATTCACCCACTTCTTTACTGTAAGATTACGGTAGTTTCATCACAGATAAGGTAGGACTGGCTTCAGCTCAAACTCACAATACAAAGCGAATCACTGAACGTTCCTAGTGTAAGATTACGATGAGGATAATCAAGAGGGTTTTGACCAATTGAGGCCAAAACAAAATGAGATTCAAAAGGATGGAAAGTTTATCACCTGATTTATTATCAGATGATATATGAGCTTTTCTTCAACTAATCTCTTCAATGTAACGATGACAGCAGTTTGATGATTATCGACGGATTATTTCGGATTATTGAAAAAAAATTTCTAGGGAGGGGGTCTGATAATCATACCACGAAAGTTTTCAGCCGTTCGAGAAATAATATTCAAAAAAGCAGCCGATTGAGATAACGTCGTGGTGAAATGATTGTACAGTAACGATTGCTTGATCCTTTCTATATCCTGAATGTTGAGGCCAACGCTATAGTATGCTGACTAAAGGTCGAAAGCTGACGATACAAGAACATTGTACGTACATATAATCAATCTTAGAATTACTTCACGGATTTCTGTACTCTCAGATCTGCACTTGCTAGGAAAAAATGGAAATTGATGTTTTTGCATTATACACTTTTTCAGACCGAGGACATTATCGAAATCGAGTACAACCCAGACAACTCAGCTTTAATTGTTCAAACAGCAAGTGCGGGCGGACTATTTCTATTCTTTTTGATTATCGGAACGTGGTGTATGTGGCGTCGGAATATGTTCGATTACTCGGACGATCTACAAAAAGTATAATTTCCGATTTACATCATATCGATTATAGTTTGTTACATATCATTTGCAACTTAGCATATATAGAACATCACCAAGTTCACTGTCACGATATTCCCAGCATATTTGACGTGTAATTTGATGTAGCAGATAAAACGTCACATCTGTGTTTTGTTGTTTGCATCCAAAGCTGGATAACAGCAGTCATTCACCATGCCTATGTCCAGAGTGGGGTCCATGCTTCAGTTTTGAAAGAAGTCATTGTTTCTTGATATGGAATTTACAGGTTTAAAGGATGACTACCAAGCAAAGTCATTACTGTTGCGAACTCGCTGCGGAAGAGATCAACTCGATAATGGATAAAGTACCTTCGATTTTCCAGATACGCGTCAGCCTCTTTTGTGAATAATCTTAGGACTGACTATTGAAAAGGAGGAGAGGTATTAGAAATAAGCGAAATATTTGGACGGTCTGAAATGATTTAGCTTCTCGAGCCCAAAATTCTGGAGAAAATACAGTAAAAGAACAAAGGCATGGAATCTCCTGGATGGGTTCAAAGACTGTGTAGACGATGTACGGGGTATTTGAGAAGTTTGGCAGCAGATACTTTCGATTCAAATTTTGACTTGCACTCAAAAAATTATTAGGCTGAAACCCGATGGATGCATCTTTTCACATCTCTTTTTGAGAATGCTGGCTACAAAGAAATTTCCTTATTACGGAGTGTACACCATCTGAGTGAACTTTTTTCTAGTTTCTCAGAGGTCGTTTGGTCTTCGTAGAAGTGAAACCTTTTTTGAAATGAATTGCCTTGAGAAACAAGAGATTCAATAAATTTCTCCTTTAGAGTCCAGGTTCAAAATTTCTAGACTTCTTTGAAGACTTGAAAACGTGCAGAATTTTCATGTGCATGCATGACTGATAGCAAAGTTGTCCTAAAAATGTACATTCAGACAACACTTCAAAAATTTCGATGTAAATTTTTTTAAAGTAATCTTGCATTTGCACTGAAAATTTGCTGTCCTTTTGCGCCGTAAAAAACTTTAGCCGCGAGCTGAAGTTTGTTGCATACCTGCAGACGCTTAGTAGTAGGAAAACGGAGAACTGTTTCCGTTTTTCTGTTGAAGAATATACATAGAATCAAATGACAAACTTTTTCGCTTCCCTTTCAGAACCAAATCTTTGCTAGCGAACACAATAGAAGAGCGCGCAAACTGCATCAAAAATAATTCATGCTAGAACTTTCCAATTCCTGTTATTCGCGAAGCAAATTACACTCTCATATAGTGCCATTTCAGCGCTTACGTAACGAAAACAATTCCATATTTTCGTAGCGACGGCCACTGAAAGCTTACCGAATTATAGCGCAGTGTTATTCTACAAAGAAATCACATATGTGAAGTTGTTTTGTTGTTTTATTGTCTAACTCTATTTCACGGCATACGCAATTCCCGTTTCAAACACTAGATAGATCCCGGATTCAGTCTGCTAGACCCCGGTCAAATAAAGGCCAGGTACACCACATCCAACTACTAAGGGCTGCGAGCTGACTTAACAAGATGCAAACCCCTCCTCTTTTCGAAAATTAGAACGTACAGAAATATGACTACACAGCAGACTTTTGCACGTACTATTCGCTATATACATATGTATGTGCGAGGAAGCAATGAATGTGCGGAAATAGCTATGATTTTTTGAAGGCGTGGCCCAACTTCTGTGAAAATACATATTCTGCTTTTGGCTCCAAACTCTGGTAGATTGAGATTCATGTGAGTACTTGAGGGAGAGCTAAAGCTTGTTTTAGAAAAAAAGACGATTTTGTTTCATCGATCCCAAAATTGTTGTGCAACCTAAAATATTTCCCAAAGAACAGTTTTCATTCTCCAGATAGAACTAATGAGGTTTTTGATTCTGGTCCACGTAGAAAACTGATTTGTCTAATCATGGAATTCTTATCATCGATTGCCCTCATTAGACAACGATCAATGATTTACTTCCTAGCACCGACACGAAAGAAATCGCGCGGACACACTTCACGTTAATGATTGTGAGTGCACTTAAGCAAACAGTCTTCGTGTGCTTTGCTTTTAAATACAAATTTGCAATTTTATTTTGAGTTGTAAGCACCTCAAATGTAGGAAGGCAAATGCAGGGATTCCTAAAGGTATTGCAAAATATCACATCCACGACCACAATACTATTAAACTTGTTTCTTGTGACGGCTGGTATCTGCTCAAAAGGCTGATTGCATGCTAACAACTCAAGCTCCCATGAAACACCTTACTTCAAAGAAACTGAACTCAGCAGTACATGTTTGGTTGCAAGACTTCGTACAGCAGTTAATTATGTTTACCTGAACGAATGCGTTACTATGTAAAAACTGTTATCTTTCCAAACCGAAAAATATATGCTTCGAAAATGAATATCCCATCACACGAGTGTTTTTTTCGATATTCCACTTACTCCAATAGACATTCTGTAAAATGAAATTTTGCCGCCTGACTATAAGTAAATTCAGCACGTTATCGAAAGCATATGCTCTGCAAACAGCTGCAAACCAACCATAGCAGCACAATAAACTGCACTTAGAGCGAGTCAAAATATGTCTGTAACAGAATTGGCTGAAACGAACTTTACCACAACTTGTTAGATAATTGAGAATCTGAGACCTGAATATTTGTAAGAGATCCACGCACAGTTTAACAAACTCAACATCGTCACCTTCAACCTAGCTCTCCATTCTTGCACTGTCACCACCGCCACACTCAAAATCGGCTGAAAAGAAGCGCTTACAGCGAAATTGATCGCTCTCCTCCGGATTTGGCCGATTTTCATCTCTGGTGATTGGTTGATGTAATCAAATGATAATTTGTAGAGTTGAAACACTATTTCCCACATTCTATCAAGAACAAAAAATCACATAAATACTACCAAACAACCACCATACAAACCAAATTACGAATATGCACTATTTCCCATCAATAGCCCTGACAGATGAAATTTTCATGGTATAGATTTACCACGATGATATCGTTGAAGCAAACTTATGCAAAAATTGGTCCAGAATGCCATGCAAAAGTAGATTTCGATGATGCAATTGATGGATGCCTTCATTTGCTTTGGATTAGTAGTGCTTTCGCAATCCAAGCGTAAACCTAACGCCATAAAATGTTGAAATGAACACTTGCTTGACAAGTAATAGTTTTTTTCTCCAACAAGAGCACACCTTCTACTCCTGCTCTTGCCCTCGCAAGACGATCGCCGATCCTGGAATGTGGAAAGAGGACCATCACCAATTCTAATTACAGTCAGACAGCGATGATTCTGGCCGAATCAAGACACAACAATGATCGATTCCTTATCAAAGATTTAGTCCACTCTATCCTTGATTTTGAGCAGTTTCAGAGAAGATGCCAGTTCGGAAGTAGATAATACCTGCATCAAAACAAATTTATGAGTTATGTTCAAGAAATTGGTGGGAAAGGTATTCCTCATAATATAATCGTTTTACCACACTTCCCAAGATAAACTAATACCTCACTTCCCAAAATAAACTAAAGTGCACCTTGGTCATGATTACGGGATTAGAGAGGGAACGGCGGAGACGGCAGCAGCAGCAGCAGGAGCTCGAAAAACACAGAGCCAGTGTTGATGACGCACATCAGCAGCACCGCACCTCACGTGCCTGACGACTGTCGCCACAAATATTGACTAACAATGGCTTGCCTTTGAGTGAGCTAGCAAAAAGAAATTTTGGAACGGCTGAGTGATTCTGCGCGAGCAACTAGCTAAGAGTTGGGCTCGAAGAAACAGTATGCCGTTTTTTGTGCCCAAAGAAATAGAGAAGAGAGCCGAACTTTAGCTGCAAACATTTGAGAGGAAAACATATGCAGCTCTGCTATTTCGCAAAAAGATAATATGACCACAGTCGACTACCATAGAACACAAGCGTCGTATCTCTCACAAAACTTACAACAACCAAGAACAACGATTTTATTCGCGAAAACATTCGATACAAAGTGGATCAGCGTTAAATCTTCAGATTCTCGTTAACAACTCGTGGTTTACTCGTACGGCGCTGCCACCTGCAGGGCTAGGAGCAGTGCAGAGATGCGAGCTTAACCAGTCTCTCACCATGCCACAATGCTCTCCTTATTCCGGTAAAGCCCAGTGAGGTGAACAATGCGAAAGGGAAATGTTAGATAATGGCCCAGAAATGTTGATATCCCAAAAACGTAGAGCACAGAATGTACAAGCGACGAGTGCATGGTTCATTTGGTAAAAAATCTACAAGCAAATACAAAAAGCGGAGATACATGCGGATATCAACAAAATCGGGACCACCCGGATATATATTAGAAAAGCAAATGTTACGGTGAGCAAAGCATTCTGAACATGACCCGACAAAATTCATCACTGATCTACATCTACATACCATATGTACACAACTCAGATACTAGCGGACAGTGCATCGAATTCCGAACAAAGACATCTGCCAATTCAATCACTCAGTGAAGAAATTGTGATTTGATTCACTAAGCGAAATTATTAATTCGCTAAGCAGCACACAAAAGAGTGTATTGAGTTCAAAAATAAGCTCCGAAAGTCACTCTACTTATTTTCGCTTACTGTTAGACCACAACCAAACAATTTATGGGGAAGAGTTTGTAAGAGAGCTGGTTGAGCGCCAGCTGCTAGGAAACTATCCTTATGCGTAGCTTTAAACTCAAAGATTCCCATCAAAGGAGCGAACTTAGTATGCAAAAAACATTCTCAAGACTACGAAATACAGAATTAAACCCAAATGGATCTCTGGCAGTTTGTGGATGGACCTGCAAGGAATTGATGCACATGACCAATGCGATTAGTACGACCAGGTCGCAAGAAGGAAATAGCAACTTTTGAAAAGGTCTCTGCTCAAGAGAATAGAATTTACAAGATAAAATCACATATTAAAGCTGTGTAATAACGGAAACACCAAAAAAGGTGAAAACATCACAGCAATTGGAATAGAGCAAACCTGGAAAAACGGGAACTTACTGAGACTAGAAAAACCCTTTCTTGCAAACCAACAAAGATACAAAAAGCAACCCACAGAAGGAACGTCAAGTGCACAATGAACTCGTCGTCTGACAAACTCGAAGCTGCAAAATTTAGGCAATGAGCAAGAAAAACTCTGAATAACTGAGCATGAGGCCCACGTACAAAACCAATGTCCATGTTCAAGAAGATAAAGAATATCGGTAAACGCTTCAGCGCGAAGATGAACTCGTGAAGGATGAAAACTGATGACGTCACCGAACAACCATCATCCTGAGCGCCGCATGACAATGCGCTTCCACTGCAGTCATGCGGGGTTCAGAAAAAGATGGTGGTAATTAGCGCCAATGGACAATGATCGTGCAAGAACAGTAAGCAAAGTGAACATAGAGTAAGTGTAACTAATGACTAGATATAACAACAAAAATTACCTTCTATGGGCGAAAACTAGCTGGAATTTGAACTGCAAGTGTCAGATAAGTCTTTCTCCTTGGACTTCCGAAAAGCAGAGGTGAGCCATTTGACGACACCTTTCTTCTCTTTCTTTTCCATGGCCGAGTCGCTGGCAGAGGTACTTTCGACGTTGTCACAATGCCCGTTTTTGATCGTCTCATTCTCCTTGTCAGCTTTCCGGGACCGCCTCGTGCTTTTGCGGGCGCCATTGCTGGCCAACTTGCTGTCCGACCGACTGAAAAATGACTCATGAACGAAAAGCCATATCAAGGTGCGCACCGCAAACGAAAATATTGAGAAGATTAAAAGTTGAATCTGGCGACCCACCGGGATCAGCTGAGGTAGAAATACAGAAAACAAACAACACTGATGAAAGCAGACAACTAGAATTGTAGATAGAGAGATAGTGTATCACCTTTCCATATGACGAGAGTCAGGAACATGGCTGTGGCTCATCTCAACTCCTTCCTGAATGGCGCTCAGGGTAGTCTTGCGATGCACGGCCGCTTTTGGCGGACTGCGAGAAAAATCGGACGCAGCGACAGAAGGCAGGTTACCGGTGGATTGAGAACTGCGAGGCTTCACCGGCACAACACGACCACGAGCACTACCGCAATTCTGCACCTGATTGACTTGGTCGAGGCTTTGTGCACGACTTCGCACGTTCTTGATTCCGGCCGGTAACGGTCGAGTGGGGAACAGCTTCATATCCTTCGTGATGATCGGCGCCAGCATACCCTCTACCGCACAGAATGAGGGCGACGGCTGCTGCTGCCGATGGTCGTCGCGTCGCACCCGCTCGCGCTTCGTTGGCCCGCTGCCAGCAGCACCCGTCTGCGGCCTACTCACTCTCCGCTCTATGCGGCCCACGCTCCCAGCAGCCGCGGTCTCTCGCTCGCAACGCTGCCTCGCTCCGCCCGCCCCCCGCCCGCCCTCCACTCTCTCAGCGCAGCGCCTCGCGTCCGGCGCCCTCTCGTCTCTGTGGCTCTATGTCAGGAGTCACGCCGCGCGCCGCGCCGCTTCGCCGCGCACGTCGCGTCTAAATTTTGTACCCCATAAAACTGCCCGGTGCTAGTGGCACGGCGCCAGTCTAGGGGGGGGGTGGGGGTTGGGGGCAGATACATGGCTCGTGCCATAAGTAAGACTGCCCCAGGAGTGCTGGCTTCTGTTTTGCTGACATCGCTTGCGGCATCGCTTCGCGAAAAATTCGCGCCGACCGTGACTCCTGACCGTTCCCCCGTCTCTGTACACACAGACAGCGGCCTGCTGCGCTCTCAGTCTCGCGCGTAGTCGCCTACAAAGATCTATCACGAGCGTCTTTCAAAAATAGTCGAGGAAGGAGTGCGGGCTAGGTGCACAGCTTAGGTGCAGCATTTGGCTGAGGTTGAAGCGATTGTAGTGGATTCGTGTGGGGTTTGCAGGAGGTAAAACCATTGCAGATAGAAGAGGGAACGAGATAGCTAACGTCATTCAGACATTAGCAATCTCAACTAATATATGGTCGTATTGACCTCGAACTAAAGCGCGGATTACGCTATGTGCTAGCACGAAGAACAGATACAGAAAGCCGAAGTGAAGACGATCCAAGCAAGCCATCATTTCCCGTGCATGTTATGCTCTTTTGTGACCTCTTCAGCATTATTTTCATCGGTGAGCAATTACCTCGTCTTCTCCACCAGTCATTGACGTTTCGCCCGCCGTCTGCTTCCATTCCATAATGATTGGCGCTAGAAACGTCAGAATGATGCAATCATACGGGCAACTCTACGTATTCTTTTCAAAAAGCATAAGCACTCTACTGATAACATAGCACCGGAAGCTTGGGGTTCGTCCACCATCTGATATCACGTGATGCCGAAAAACTACAGCAGTGTAGAACAACACGGCATGGGCGAAAAGTAAGCGAAAAAGAGTTACTGACGTGACGAAGGAATACCGTTTGCGGAACTACCAAAGTACCGGTGTCTTTCTTCCTTGTTTCGCAGAGGGTTAGGACATTGATTTGGCAGATATACGCGGAATTACTTAGTATTTAGTACTAAGGCCCGTATGCACGTACATCCCCGCGGGGAGGGGAAGGGATCTGAGAGGGGAAGCGTCATATTTCGCTAGTCTGTATATCCTTCGTCTTCCTTCTTTATCTGTGATATGAAGGTTCTCATACCCTAATACCTGCGCATAATGGATGCCAGGTTATTACCATACAAGATTAGATTTTTACAACTTTGTGTGATCCCCTGGGGATCCCCAGGGGATCACCTCTCATTTTCGAAGTCATTTATCTTTCTGAAAACTCCATGAAAATGCCGTAAAGTTGTACTGAGGATATACTACGGCACTGCTAAACATGTCTATAGTAGAAATAAGAGAAATCTCAGGATATCGAAATTTTCCATGGACCGCTGCTCGCGAGCCAGGGATTATCGAAATAAAAACTTCAGGTTCCATTTCTTCTGTCAAAAACATGCTTAGCAGTGCCGTAGTATATCCTCAGTACAACTTTACGACATTTTCATGGAGGTTTCAGAAAGATAAATGACTTCGAAATCACCCAAACTGGTTAAAATCTAATCTTGTATGGCAGTAACCTGGCATCTATCATGCCTAGATATCAGGGTATGAGAACGTCATATTACGAAGAAGGGAGAAGAAAGGTATACAGAGTACGAAATATGACGCTTCCCCTCTCAGATCCCCTCCCCTCCCCACGGGGATGTACGTGCATACGGGCCTAAGTCATTGAAATTACGTTTCAAATTGCAAACTTTGCCCAAAGGCTCCAAATAACAGCTAGATGACTTTCGTTCATACATTTGTCATTTCGTAGACGGCTGAGTCAGCAAAGCACCTTTTAGTGCTTCTTTTCGTCTGCACGATCATGATTTGTGCCCTGCAGTGATAAGATAATCGTCGAAATTGTCACGCACCGGTATCAGTTCAAGTGGGCAAGCATTCAAGTGGGCAAGCAAAGTAATGAAATGATTGTCCGACAGAATTTATCAAGAATAAGGCATGGGGTTGATCATTTGCGTGATCATTTTGCTGAAACTAAGGAACAAAAAGATTTCAGTCATGTGCTCACTGGGCTAGTGAGAGTAGTTCATGGTTTCTGTAGCTTTTTGTCTTCCAAAAATCCTTTGAACATTACCAGTCATTCTAATCGAATTTACCAATTTCTCCAACTCAGGCCAGTTCGATGAAGAGAGAATACCGGTTTCTAACAGATTGGAAAATGACCACTCGGAGATCGTCAAACTTCTTGTCTAGCATGTGACTTTTCCAGTGAAGGAACTAGTCGGAACGTCCTCCGTTAATGGCCAACGTGTCAGGTCGTTCCATAAGTTTATAGTGTTTTCACAAATCAACGAAATGTCAAAATTTTGTCAGCATTCACTGGATAATGTGTTTTCCGCTATTGCGCACAACCGTCTGCCACCTTGGCAACGATTTTCAACTTCCTTTTTTCCAGAACTCAGCCGGTCTGGTCCCAAGGAAGCCGTCTAACCAGCACCTAAGATCGTCTTTAGAATCAACACAAGCGCCGTTTCCACGGTGTGCAAAAGAGCGGGCAAATGATCATCTGGTGGAGCGAGGTCTGAGAAGTGCATCGGATACCAATACGTCTTCAAGTCTTGAAGGATAGTTTTGACGACTTGCTTTTGTCGTACAGAGCCATGTCTTGTCAGGCAGAAAAACTCACTGGAATTGTGCTTCGAGTCATCTTCGCAGTAGTGATATGTCTAAACGGCGCAACTGGATTGCGTATGGCATGCTCGATTGCTTTGTTCTTGTCTAGCAATTTTGGGTACTATTCCACATTAGTTGATCCAAAAAATGAAAACCGTGAATTTCGCTAAAACTTCGTCTAGGGTGGTTATTTGGTATGCTGAACACGAATATGATGTTTATTTCGTGCGACAGCGCCATCCAGTGGAGTTACGGTAGGATTACGGTAGGGGTCAATACACGCGTTTGCCCGAAACTTCGTCTAGAAGAGTTATTTGGAATGCTGAACACGAATATGATGTTCATTTCGCGCGACAGCGCTATCCGGTGGAGTTACGGTAGGACTACGGTGTAGGGTCAAAATTATGCATTTGCCCGAAACTCGGCCCAGAGGGGTTATTCGGCCCGCTGATGCCAAATATCACATTGGTTTTGAACCGTAGCGTCATTTTCCGGGGTTACGGTAGCTACACGGTAATGGGTGCAAAACATAATTCTGCCTGAAACGGGTGTACGGCGATTCGGACGATCGTGAAGCTTTGCACACACGACCACCGCCGCACGCTACACACCCTGCTGTGGCTTTTGCCTAAGCAAAGCACAGGGGAGAGATACATTTGCCGATTTGTGATTTTGACCCGTACCGTAAACCTACCGTAACCATGCAAGGAGACGTTTTCGTGCAGAGAAAGTGTGACACTTCTAATCAGCATGTCGAGTAACCCAACTGTGCGAAGTTACAGCGGATTTTGAGGTCTTGACTCCCTACCGTATACACACCGTAACCCGAAAAAATGACGCTACGGTACAAAACCAGGTACTATTCCACTTAATACAACCCGAAAACTGAATATCACGGATTTTTTGCTGAAAGTTCGCTTAGGGGGGTTATTCGACCTGCTGATTACGAAAATGATATCCATTTTGCGTGGTGGACCCTTTTTGAGGGTTACGGTAGGCATACGGTATGGGGTCAAGATCTCAGAATTCGCTGAAACTTTGCATAGGGGGTTATTCGGCATGCTGACCACGAATTTCACGTTCAATCACCACGAAAACGCCATCTGGTAGGGTTACGGTAGGATTGTGGTGTGGGATCAGGATCATGAAATTCGCTGAAACTTTGCATAGGGGGTTATTCAACATGCGTCTCCAGCAGTTTAGGTATTTTGGTGGTGATCCACGGTTACCCCTCATGAAAGGCCTATTACGCGAAAAGAATATCATTTTCATTATCAGCATGTCGAATAACCCCCCTATGCAAAGTTTCAGCGAATTTCATGATCCTGACACCATACCATAATCCTACCGTAACCCTACCAGATAGCGTTTTCGTGGTGATTGAACATGAAATTCGTGATCAGCATGTCGAATAATCCCCTCTATGCAAAGTTTTAGCGAGTTCTGAGATTTCGACCCCATACCGTATGCCCAACGTAACCCCACCACGCAAAATGGATATCATTTTCGTAATCAGCAGGTCGAATAACCCTGCTAGGCGAATTTTCAGCAAAATCCGTGATTAATCTTTGGGTTGTATTAAGTGGAATAGCGCTCAAAACCAAAGTGATATTCAGCATCAGCGGGCCGAATAACCCCTCTAGACGAACTTTCGGGCATATCCGTGATTTTGACCCCAGCCGTAATCCTACCGTAAGTCCACCGGATGGCACTGTCGCATGAGATAAACATCATATTCGTGTTCAGCGTACCAAATAACCACACTAGACGAAGTTTCAGCGAAGTTCACTATTTTCATTTTTTGGGTCAACCAATGCTTAATAGCGCCCAATTTTGCAGAACCTCCTGTCCGCTGCAAAAAAGTCGCTACGGAACACCCTGTAAACTCCTAGTTTCTCTGGAGCAATCTAATCCTTTTTTGTCTCATACTGAATGGAAAGCTCCATTTTTCATAATCGGAAAAAAATCTATGCAAGTACAGTTTTTTGTAAGAAAGAACAAGCGAATGTCAACAATACTTCTTTTTGTCTTTGCAAATTCCACATTTGGAAGCCGAGAAATCGAACTGGGTCAATTTTTATAGGAACCAATAGCTTCATTATAGGGAGCATGATTATCTCTCTTTAAGGATATGCGCATCTTGCTGAAAGCCAACCACCTTCCAGAAAAA